CATGGCAGAGACAGAGTCCCCAGGGCTGGCTATAACACAAAGAGGTCTCCTGAAGAGCAGTTGCTTTCACAAAGAAGTTTTGGAAATTCACACTTTCCTCCCTTGCTGCTTGATTTTCCCCTGGGTGGAAACCTTTGGTATCCGAAAGGGCCAGGGCCAGGTAAGACAGGAGGAAGAGCTAGTGTGTTACTGGGTCAAAGACTAGGTTCTAGTCCAAATTTTTTCAACAACTTCCTGGGTGGCCTTGGACCTTATATCATCTCCTTAATCTTCAGTTCCCTCATCTATCATGAAGGTGTTGGATCAATACATAATCTCTACAGGCCTTGCTGACTCTCATACTTTATCACTCATAGTGGAGTCATTAGTAGCTCTATGCAGGAGACAGAGACCTTTGCCTGAAATTAATATTCTTCTGGTTGGTGAGATACAATCAGAATGCTGACCGGTAGAGCACAATTGAGTCAGTCCCCAGGGTGTAGAATGGTCTCATTTTATGCGGAGTGACCCTCCTTACAATAACTTGGAATCCTTTACCTTTTCCACAACATCTGGGAAAGTAAGGACTTGGGATATAGGATAATGAAGAGAGGACAGGGTAATAATGCGGCAAAGGACATAAACTAGAGTCATATCTGATGATTTGGTCAATTGTCCTTGTCTCTAGATTATCATTGAGTGTTCCCTTTCTGTAGTCTCTGACTGAAGTCACAGTCATTAATGACGGTAGAAGTCCAGGGAGATGAAGCAAGATTGCACTGAGGCTTGGTGCCAAGTTTGTACAAGTCATCAGAGACCCCACCCAGGCCTTGGGCTTGCCCTTATGAGTGCATTCTCCAGGCCTGCCCCTACCTCCTCCTGCCAGAAGGTGCTCCTCCCCCAGTACCCCCCAATATGTCCTTGGTAGCCTTCCTCAGGTGCTCCTGGCTACTCTCTGCTGTCAACTTAAACCCACAGTAGCCCCTCCCACTAACTTTTCTCTATTCCCCCAGCTAAGACAGCAGGTGTGCCTTTTTAAACTGAGATCAGGCTCCTGGGTGTGAGATCTGTGAGGCCATGGCCTCGTGTCTCTTGGTGCCTGTGAGCTCATCTTGGGCCTGGAAAATCATGCTGAGGAGGAAGATATTTTTGCTGCTGCTGCTGCTGCTACCATAGGAAACGGTGCTGTGTTTCAGGAGCTGGGGAATAGTGTGACAAGCAGATGACGCTGTATAGCAGAACACTGATGACCTTCTGGAAGACATCCAGAGATAAGTTGGGAACAGTTTGTGCGGAAAAGGGAGAGCCAATCCAAATATTGCAGATGGAATTCTTGTGAGCAAGGGCTTTCTACAAAACCATTTGCCAAGACGGCCCACATATTTGCAAGGCAAATATCTAGGTGCAAGCTTACAAAATACAACAGGCAGCTCAATGGCAGGCCGGGCATGTTGGTGGGAGGTGGACAAGTAAGGACTTTCATCTGTCCATTTCTCTCCAGCTGCTGCAGGGGCCTCTAATGCTGTATGAGTTCTTTGGCTTTCCAATCTATTTAATAGAAGAGAAGCTGGGAAGTTAGCTCATCCAGGTCATGCCTCTGTCTTCATGCTGGATGTTACTTGCAGCATGTGACTATAAGAAAGTTCTGTTCCTTCAATAAATGCCTCCAGAGAAAAGTGCCCACCCATTCTCTGTGACCCATTCCAGTGTTTAATCATTGTGAAATGTCGAACAATAGGCTTCACACTGACCTTAAGATGTCCCCTTGGTTGTTTACTATTAATCCCCCTATTTCCTACTGATTACAGGTGGGGAATAGCCACTGACCAAGGTTTCTACTTGAAAGGATGCTTTTAAATACCTGACCATAACAGGCCCCCTTAACCTACACTTATTTAGACTTAATAATTTTAGAAACATTTTACACACAGATTTGCTTGATCACAATCTTTTCCAACTATTCTATAATCTCTGCTACTGACCACAGCTGTCCTCCCTGCACAGAGCTCCCCTCTCCTTTCTAAGCACCCCATCTCTTCCCAACCTAAGAAATTTTTCCATTTTCAATGTACCAGCATTTGAGCAGCTGTATAAGCACAAAATATTTAATTTGGGAACAGTGTCTGTGGGAAGGAATGCTTTGTTAGTTTCCAAAGTAATGCAAAGCTTAATTTTAGAAAGTAATTTAACCTTTTTTTTTTGGTTCTGGAAGTCACAGAGATTATGGATTGCGCTGCAGAGGCAGCCTCCTGATGATGCTAGCACTTTGCAGCACTGGGTTTTTCTGCAGCAGTTTCATTTTTATTCTCATTCAGAGACACAGTGAGTCAGTTCAATAGAAACATTTACCCCCTGAAGTCAGGATCTATGTCTTGTACAGCCTGTCTGTATGGCCAGGGCCTGACAAGGACAAGTGAGTGGGAAGTATTCTTAAATGCTGAATTACATTGCATTGCTTGTCTGCCCCCTACTCCCTACCTTGGTCTTAAACTTGGTCCAGTCCGGTTCTGGAACTAGGAAATAACAGCCATAAACTTTTGGGCAGCACAGAGACAGGCAGGATCAGATCATACCACTGCTGCCTTCCATGGCTCCAGGAGAAAGTTAAGGTGACAAGATTGAAGAGTATCATGTCCTACCAGATCTAATGTTAGTCTCCTCCTCTCAGGGACACACATGACTAGGATCTGAAACATAATAGGAACACCAGTAGAGCAGGATAGATTTGGAGGCAGGGACGACGAAATGCAGAAATTAGGAGGCTGTATCACCACCACCTCCACCACTGTAGTAGCAGTATTCAGGGCTGGAACTGAGGGTAGGCTCTTGATAAATAGTCCCAGAGTCCTCTGTGAGCTCCAGGCAAAGGAGCCTTCTATCATTTGCTGAGGTGCCTTTTGACTGTCGTGGCACGCTCTGGTACCTTAACACCATGATCGGTGACATTTCCCAATTCCCCAGAAAGAAAATTTAAACTCTGTTATCCAAGGATTGATACACACACACACGCAGTTTCTTTCTTGACCGTGTTGTAAGTAAAAGTCAATTTGGAGAGGAAGACGATGAGGTCCCCATGAGAAAGTCACTGTGAGTAAAGATACTCTGGCAGAGTGTATCAAATACTCGACCAGAACACCTGAATCTTGGACAACAAGAGGTTCCAGGCAGAGTGTGAGGCTGAGTCTCTCTAGCTCTCACCTGAACCCCAAATCCTAAGAGTTCCAGTATGTTCTGGAAACGAGGGGGATGGTCTTAATTACAAAGCAAAAATCAAAACAAAACAAAAACATACAAACAGAGGACAATTATTTTTAAGTTGGCATCTCCTCTAAAAGACCTGGAAGACCGCCGGGCGCGGTGGCTCAAGCCTGTAATCCCAGCACTTTGGGAGGCCGAGGCGGGTGGATCACGAGGTCAAGAAATCGAGACCATCCTGGTCAACATGGTGAAACCCCGTCTCTACTAAAAATACAAAAAATTAGCTGGGCATGGTGGCGCGTGCCTGTAGTCCCAGCTACTCAGGAGGCTGAGGCAGGAGAATTGCCTGAACCCAGGAGGCGGAGGTTGCGGTCAGCCGAGATCGCGCCATTGCACTCCAGCCTGGGTAACAAGAGTGAAACTCCGTCTCAAAAAAAAAAAAAAAAAAAAAAAAAAAAAAAAAAAAAAAAAAAAAAAAAAAGAAAAAGTTATATATAAAAAAAAAAAGACCTGGAAGACCTTGTCCTGCTGGTCAGGGAGGAGCTGACCATTGGAGGTCAGTGGTTTGGGGGAGGTGGGCAATAGCTGTGGCAGCCAAAGGGGAGGAGACAGCGGTAGGGTGGCATGGCAGCCCGCTCCAAGAACAGAAACGGCGAGAAGGAAAGACAGGACTGCATAGCCTAATGTGGCAGTTAGCCACTTTTGCAGTAAAACATATTTCAAATGTTTTTCAAAGTGTTAGCTTCTGCCAGATCTTGAAATCTTTCAGAGCTCAGCCTGTGGGTGGGTTCAGCTCCATGTATTTTTCATTAACATGTACTAGTGGGCCTGGGATAGTACAGAAAGACAAGAAAGAACCATGCCAGAAACACAGATACCGAGAAAACCAGGCTGACAAAAAGATACACAGAGATACTGGGAGAGCTTGAGAAAAGCCATTTTCTAGGCGCAGAGAAACACAGAGTTCTAGAAAGCATTTAATCGAGAGATTCAGGAAAGCCTATTAAGACGGTGTTCTGCGAGACACTACTGGCGTCCCCCAGGATGGAGTTCAGGCAGTCCTGGATTAAGCCTCCCGGAACTAAGAACTGAAGAGAAACCGCAAAGCTGCATTGTTTTGTTTGTCCCTCGGTTGGGCTCCAGGCAACCTGAGCGCGGAAGTTCTGACACACTGCCTGAGCGCCCCCTGTTGGCCGCTATGCAGAACTTCACCGTCTGAGCCAAGGTGCAATCGAATTACGTAATTTCTCCAGCTTTGCCCACCCTATTTTTAAATTTTTACTTATTTTTTATATACTTTTGTATTTTTCAAGTTCCTTGCTTCTCTGAAGCCCAATGTATGATGCCAGCGCTTGAATGCTTTGACTCCCAAGGTCCTAAGGCCCAGTGAGGGCCGTTCCGAAAGACCAGCCTAATGAGAGTGCACGCAGGGGCTTGGTGGAACATTTATGAAACACGTGCCACATACAAAGCGCTGCAGAAAGGCCCAAAGGGATCTCATTTGGCTTTTCGTCGTCTTGCCTCAAAAGGGAGGCTAGAATTAAACGGGCCGTCTGGGGTGGAGTGAGAGCCCTTCCCCGCCCAATTTTGACCCACCGTAGCAGCCTTCCAAAATAAACCCCGAGAAGAGCCTCTCAGGGCGCCAGCTATGGCGCGCCTCCCTCTTTCCTTTCCTTTCTCTCCCCCCCCCCCCCCTTCATTTTCTTTTTCGTCTCTGCTTGGAGAGGAGAAATTACAATGTGCAAAGACCCTGGGGCTAGAAGGAGAGAAATACACATCTCCCCAAATGCCAAGCCTGTGTTACTGCTAAGAATAGCCTTTATCCTAATCTGGGAGGAAGCGCAGAAGCCCTGGTTCCTGTTTCTCTCTCCCTCTCTCCTCCCTCGTTTCTCCCTGTGTCCCTCTCCCCTCCCTCCTATCTCTCACTTCTCCATCCCCCTCACATCCGATGAAGGTTGATTATAAAGAGGGCAGTGAGCCTGTCTTTCCTAAAGTGACTGAGACTTTAGTCACAAAGGCTAGAGAGAAGATGTGGGAGGAGAGAATAAGAGTCCAGAGGACCAGGGTGGGAGGGAGGGAGAAGGCTAGAGCAGCATGGGTTGGTGGGGAACAGGAAGAACAGGACACAGGAATCTTCAGCCAGCTGATTGACAGGGTTGGTGGGACCCCCAAGAGCGTCCCTGGGGTAAACGGTGGCATGCCCCCCCCACCCCATTCTGGCAGGACATAGGCATCACCTTGAGGGAGGGAGCCAGGTTTCCAGACCTCTGGCTAGTATATGGGCTGACAGTAAGCAACTCTCATCTCCTCAGAGATTACAAACCCAAATTACGTCTCTAAAAATCAGGTTCTTTCAGGCCGGAAATGGTGGCTCAATGCCTGTAATCTCAGTACTGTGGGAGGCCAAGGCGGGCAGATCACTTAAGTCCAGGAGTTTGAGACCAGTCCTGAGCAACATGCAAAAACCCCATCGCTACAAAAAATACAAAAATTAGCCACGCGTGGTGGTGACTCGCGTCTGTGGTCCCAGCTACTCAGGAGGCTGAGGTGGGAGGATTGCTTGAGACTGGGAGGCGGAGGTTGCAGTGAGCTGAGATCGTGCCACTGCACTCCAGCCTGGGCAACAGAGTGAGACCTTAAAGGTCAGAGGCACAGGGTGAGAACATCAGAAAGGATCCTCTTTCCTTTGTTAATGAAGAATTAAACAGATGTTACCGTTAACTGCCTTGCAGAAGTGACCCTCAGGGAAATGGGGTCACTTCTGTTTTGGTTTCCTCATTACCTGCTGGGCCCCTGCCCATTGTTTCTTTCTCTTGTCCACCTTCCTTCCCAGCTTCCCCCTTTTCCTCTTTCAAGAGTGCAGCTTTTGCCCACACCATCTGTGATGTTCCTCCCCACCCCTACAACCCTGGCTCTGGCTTCTTCCCCTATTCACCTTTCCTGTTGCTCCTGGATCTTTTCTGGTCAGAGTGTTGTTGTGGAAGGAAGGGGGAGAGGGCTTGGGGACCCAAATGTCTGATGCCTTGCGGATTTCTAAGAGCTTTCCCATAGAGCCTGAGGAGAGTCAGGCTCTAGGTCTTTCTTGACTCAATCAATCTGCAAAGCACCTCTGAAAAATTACTAGACAGCTGACAGCCCTTAAGTTGTATTATCTCTATCTTGAATAGCCCTTGCCCACTTCTACCATAGAAAAGTATTTTAGTAACTCATGAGTCAATAGGAGCAGAAGGGGCCTGGCAGGCACTGCATAAATACATATTACGGTTATTTATCACAAATGAAAGCGGCTCATAAATAACAAAACTGGCCCAGTTCTGCTTCTGTTGAATAAAAGGAAAAAACCCACAAACATCAAAGGACAAAAAATAAAAGGGAAACGCTCTGTAGAAGATGGCATTACTTTGTGTTCTATAGCTGAATAAATTGTAGCAGTTTCTAAAATGCTCCCGGAGAACAAAGGATTTTAGAAGAGACCTGCTCAGAGGCCCTGAATTGTGGGTCTGGGCTGCCCATGACCAGCAGAGGGCAGAGTTCCTTTATAAACGGAAGACTGCAGAGCTGTGAGGAAACGGTAATTGATGGTTCAAGGTTGTAAACTGCTTATTCGATGCTGCAAATACTCCCTTTGGGCCTATGCATACCCCCAGAGATCATAGCCCAATATTCTTGATAGGTTACAAAAGACTCGATTTCAAGGAACAAGCTCCTTGTAATTATTTCTTTGTAAGATTAAAATCTGGGCAGGAGGCTAGCTTTGCACAAACCTCCCTCTGGGTGCCACAAACTGCTATTTAATGTGCAGTCACTGAAGTAACTTGTCCCTGTCTTGGGCCTGACATAGCCACTCATAGCTGCATATTTGATACAAAGTATCTAGCTTTTCCAAGTTAGATACAAAGCCCAAAAACTCCCCCTATGTTTGAGCTTTGAATCTAACTTGGAAAAGCAGGTGCTGTGTCATGAACTTGGTGAAAAAGTTCCTACTGTTGGTCATTCCCCTTTGTTTAATGAATACAGAGAAATCTATCTGGGAAACAGAGATAGGAATGAAGATTATTGGAAATATTTCCTTAATATTTGGATTAGCATAGCAAATTGACTCCTAGGTATGTATCCAAGATAACTGAAAACACATGTCCACACAAAAACCTGTACACAAATATTTCTAGCATTATTAATCATAGCCAAAATGTGGAAACAACCCAAGCGTCCATTGACTGATGAATGGCTAAACAAAATGTGGTTTATCCATATAATGGAATATTATTCAGTCATAAAAATGACTCAAGTATTGATACATTACAACATGACAAACTTTGAAAACTTCATGCTGATTGAAAGAAGCCAGTCACTAAAGACCCATATTGTATTATTCTAATTACACAAAATGTCCAGAATAGGCAAATTCATAAAAATAAAAAAAAACAGATCAATGATTTATTGGGGCTGAGGAAGGGAGAAATGGGACTGACTCCTAATGAGTAATTTTTGGGATGATGAAAGTGTTCTGAAATTAGATAGTGGTGATGGTTGGACATTTCCATGACTATACTAAAACCCACTGAATTATACACTTTTAAAAGGTAAATTTTAAGTATGTGAATTATATCTCAATAAAACTGTTATTAAAAAAGATTTGGGGCTGGGTGCAGTGGACCATGCCTGTCATCCCAGCACTTTGGGAGGTAGGGGGTAGGAGGATCACTTGAGCCCAGGAATTCAAGAACATAGCAAGACTCTATCCATATTGGAAAAAAAAAAAAAGATTCAGACCAAAATAGACATTAACAGACACCATAGAAGGAAACTCAGAGCAGGAAACAAAGTGAATATAAAGAGAACATTTGACTTCTGGGAGAGTCAGCCCTGCCCCCATTTAAAAAATACTTTGGATGAGAGCAGAGTAGGTTTAGTGCAGGTTAAAGACAGAGGCAGCCAAATTCAGTGTAGAAAGCAAAGAGAATTATCCACAAAGCTGAACTGAACTTGCTTCTTCTCCAGCTGACCCACCTGTAAAGAGTTTACACCTCTGATCATGCTGGCCTTGGTAATATGGGTGCTGGTTCACTCAAGGCAAAAAAAACAGATTTGATGTCATGGTGACAGAAAGTACAGGGGGAAATAAGGGAGAATCACATTCTTCAAGCCACAGTAACAAGAAAGGCTTACCAAGCTCTCTGGAGGTGGCAAGGAAGGAAGGTGATAATAGTAAAGTCACCAGCTCAGCTGCCAGGCAACTTCATGGTCACACTTGAGTTCCAAGTATATGACCAGTGACACCCAAGAGGCCAGAAGCCTGTGCTCTGTTCCTTCTGTAGCCACCACAGCATCTTGCAGAGGCTGGGCCCATGAGAGCCCTTAGTAAATACTCAGAAAAGGGAGAGAAAATAAGAAATAGATGAGCACACAACTCCAAAGGCCAAGGGAAGTGCCCTGAATGACCAAAGCCAGGGCTAGGTGCAGCCTTGGTCAGCACATCGGAGAGGAACTACCCTTGAATTAGAAAGATAAGGAGAGACGCCTGCTCTTTATCAGAGCCATCCACTCACCCATCACTGGACCTGCCTGGCTGAGTTTAAGCAGGGCGATGTCTCAGGCACACCTGCGCACACCCTTCTGCTATGACGTGCTTGGTATGCCTCATTTCTTGCCTTCTTCCAATTCCTGTGCAGAAACTGTAATACATTAATATCATTGTGTGAGATAAAGCCAAACTTTGTTTTGTTTAGAAATAAAACATCCTAGAAGATGCACTATGAAGATACTCTGCATAAGAGTAGGCCTTTTAAAATTTATTTTTATTGATTTAAAAACCAAACCAAACAAACCTTCTGTTCTGTAATTGCTCTTGGTGATCAGGGAGAGCAATGATACTAGGGTGTGATCAAATGTTTCCAGTCCTGTGTTTTTCTCCAAGTCTGGTCCTCTGGGTGAATGTTACACATTTTAGGGAACCAGGGAATATATCTAACTATGTCTTACAAAATTAGCTTAATTATAGATTCAGCCAAGAGATGGGAACTCAGTAACTAATTATGTAGCTAGAGCTTCATAGGGGCATTGGAGCCAAAACTCATAACACTCTTTATATAGTAAATAAGAGGTTAAAAACAACTGGCTAGATACCAATTGTTTTAAATAAATTATATGAATTCAGCAGTGGAAAGAATTGGATTTGGGAGTTGGGCAGATCTGGGCTTACAACCTGGTTACTTCCTTCATTGATGCCTTTAGTAAATGTGTATCGATCACCTACCCTGTACGAGGCACTCTTTTAGACACTGAAAATCAAAGCACAAATGAGAAAGACAGTCTGTCTCCTCAGAGAGCTTACAGTCTCAGAGCTGCACTAAATACCTGGTATCTTTAAAAGGTTACTAAACCTGCTGGGCACGGTGGCTCATGCCAGTAAGCCCAGCACTTTGGGAGGCTGAGGTGGGCGGATCACCTGAGGTCAGGAGTTCAAGACCAGTCTGGCCAACATGGTGAAACCCCGTCTCTACTAAAAATACAAAAATTAGCTGGATGTAGTGGTGGGCGCCTATAATCCCAGCTACTTGGGAGGCTGAGGCTGGAGAATCGCTTGAGCCCGGGAGGCAGAGGTTACAGTGAGCTGAGGTTGTGCCACTGCACTCCAGCTTGGGCAACAGAGACTCTGTCTCAAAAAAGAAAAAAAAAAGGTTACTAAACCTTTCTGTGTTTAAAACTGTAAAATGAAAAAACAAAACAAAACAAATTTGAAGGTTGTGAGGATTAAATTGAATACCATAAACGAAATGCTTCGAATATTGCATTAAAATAGTTTTGCTTCCCTTCTCCTTATATATACACCTCCTTGGTATCATTTTATCATTTGCTACCATTTACTACTATCATTAATTGAACATTCCTAGCTTAAAAGGAGACCAAATGGGTCAGGGATTTGAAATGGAAACCCCAAAGCAACTCCATTAGGGAACAGTATGTGTTGTAGTTGAGAACATGGGGGTTGACATCAGAGGACCCCAGATAGAAACCAACACTGTTACTTGATGATTTGGGGCAAGTTATTTAAACTCTCTGAGCCTCACAGAGTTTCCTCCTCTGTGAGGGCTGATAACCTTATTCTCCCGGAGCTGTCAGGGAGGTTTAGTGAGATGCTATATGTAAAACACCTGGCTTATTGTCTGGTACATAACAGGTGCTTGGCAAAGACTGTTACTCTTATTTGTTTGTCTTGCTTTCAGAATATCAATTTTTAGGGTGGGCACTGGTCTTAAATAGCATTACGGCCAATTCCTCATGTTACAGATAAGGAAACTGAGGTTCAAAGCAGGTTGGCCAAATCATATAGTTAGTTGGTGTCAGAACTGAAATCTCTGATTCCTGCCCCAGTTTTCTTTGTTTCTACTTCATGTTCAGGGATGGATTTGACTAGAATATTGGTTTTAAGGAACATTAAGCTCACACATATAGGATGTGGTAGAAAGCTGTCTTCCTTTCCTAATCTTTAGTTTCTTCTTGTACAGTAATGGAGTTGTCTAAATGACTCTACTCAAGCTTCTGAGACACAATGTCTCTTTGAAGTGTAGCTAGAAAACACAGGGAGCCATGGACAACTTCACCTGCCCTTGCTAAGTTCAGGCTCTTGATCTTTCTTTTTTTTTTTTTTTTTTTTTGAGACGGAGTCTCGCTCTTGTTACCCAGGCTGGAGTGCAATGGCGCGATCTCGGCTCACCGCAACCTCCACCTCCTGGGTTCAGGCAATTCTCCTGCCTCAGCCTCCCGAGTAGCTGGGATTACAGGCACGCACCACCATGCCCAGCTAATTTTTTGTATTTTTAGTAGAGACGGGGTTTCACCATGTTGACCAGGATGGTCTCGATCTCTTGACCTTGTGATCCACCCGCCTCGGCCTCCCAAAGTGCTGGGATTACAGGCTTGAGCCACCGCGCCCGGCAAGGCTCTTGATCTTTCAAGGATTAGGTGCACACAGATGGAAGATTCTTGCCCATCCATCCCTTACAAGGCCACCATGCCTGACCTTCCAGGTGGCTGCTCTTTCAATGAAAGTGATTTTCAAACTGCAGATCATAACTTATTAGTGAGTCTTGAAATAAATTTAGTGAGTATTTCAAAAATGGAAATAGAAGTGATTTAAAAATATCAAACTATGCCACAAGTTATAATAACAAGTATTACTTTGTGAAATATTTGTTATATGTGTCATATGTGTGTGTGTGAATTTAGGTACTGTGATGTCACAATTCTAAAAGCATTTTTTACTGTGTGCTGTAGTCCAAAAAGATTGAAAACTACTGCTTTAAGACATGATTTGTGTTGCCTGCAATTAAAAAAAATTCTCACTTTTAAATCTCACATTATTCATTCACTCAAACAATTGTTTACTGAGTGCCTACCAAATGCCCGGCACTGTTCTGGGCACTGAGAATATAGCAATGAACAAAATAAACAAAAATTCCTGTACTCATGAAGTTTAGTTTCTGGTGGGAGAAACACAAGCAATACATATGTAAGGTACAAAATGTAGGAAACATAAGAGAAAGGCAGGCAGGAAGGAAGGAAGGAAGGAAGCAAAGAGGGAGGGAGGGAGGGAGGGAAGCAGGGAAGGAGGCAGGGAGGTAGGGGAAGGAAAGAGAAAAAAAGAAAGAAAGAAAAAAGAAAGAAAGAAAAGAGAAAGCAGCAAGCAGATAATTAATTCAGGACATTCATAACGATTTAACCCAGAAAAAACACTGTTGGCATTTTGCTGTATGTCCTTATAGATTTTTCGGCATACACACATGCCATTTATCTCGCCATTTAGAGGACTTCAAGGTAACAGGCCTTAGGTAAATGTGCAGGATGCTGCTGACCAAAGTCCTGTCCTCTGAAGCATGAAAGGAGAGGCTCTGCTTTCCTCCCCACCTGCTTGCCTCCTCCTCCTTCTTTCTCTTCTGTATTAATTACACTACCAGGCCCTCAGCCCTGGACACAGAGACTTCTGCTGCATGTTAAATGGGCACAGCACCAACTGACCCTGCTCACAGGGAAGTTCTGTGTCAGAGTTCTGTTGCATACTGACCTTTAAAAGCCTTAATGATTTAATCATTTTATAGATTGAAAACATTGAGGTCCAGAGAAATTGTGACTTGTCTGAGTTCCCACAAATGGTAAATGGAATCAAGAGCCTGGAATGCCTTGTGCTCCACCGCCTGAGAGCTCTGGTTTGGCCTCTCCATCTGCTGTGCATTTCACATTCCTTCCTTATTGTGCCAATATAGCTGTTGTTTTAAGTTTTTGTTTTCTCTAAAATGTACAAACCGGTTAGACTCATCCTGGCTTAAATGACCATTAATTTAGTAAATCTCCTTGGATTTTGTGACTGCTATGCTATAAGCCTTAAAAATAAATGTTATAAGATGCTGCCCTTGGGTCCAGCAGAGAAGAAGATAGAATTGGATCCCTTTCAAACCCAGTGTTTACACTCAGATGCCTCTGGCTTTCTCATTTACTTTAATAAGCTATTTCATGAGGTAACTTTATCTTTACAGATACATTTTTTCTTTTTTTTGAAGGAGAGATGATTTTTAGCTGAGAGCAAGGAACTTAAAATCAAGAGGTTTGTGCTCTTGTCCCAGTTCTGCTGAGTAACCTTTGAGCAGTCACTTCCCATCTGTCAGCCTAAGACTGGATGAGGGGCTTTTAAGCTGTGGTCAGTGGGGACTCAGGATTTTCAGAACATATTTCCGGGCTACCACCAGACACCTAAAGTGAAGGCTCAGAGGCTGCTGTCCCAGAACCACACTGCCCCCTTGTCTCCCTCCCTCCCTTACTCAGAGCAGCTCTCCTTTAATTTTTTTTTTTTTAAAGGGGAGATTCTGCATAAAATTTTATTTAAAAGTTCTGCTGTTGTTAGTATATAACAAGCACCAGAACAGCTAGATGATCTGAAAAATCCTTTCCAGCTTAGCATTCTGGAGTTTCTGAGTTCAAAGATCAGCTCTTGCTTTTCTTTTTTAGCTACCTCTTTGCTCCATGGACATGCCAACTGATCACCTCTAAATTATAAATATTCTCTCTGCTGCCCCAAGCTGACTGCTAACTATGTATTATGCTGGTTATAAAGATCCTGGAAATGAGCTTGTCTGCCTATCCTCCCCTAATAATGTTGTCACCAGCAGGAAAGAATATTTGTAGCAGTGCTTATTTGCTGACCAGGGATTTGATTTTTTTTTTTTTTAAGCTTGCATTTGCTTTAACTACTTAGGAAAAACAGTTCCAGAACCATCCCCAGCCCTGACCAGCATAGCAGCATCCTCATTCATATGCTGCTGCTTTGTCTGGCTAAAGGCATTCTGCAACGCCATTCCTAACCGCTCCCCACTGTGGTAAGCAGCTATTCCGTTTGGATTCCACATCCGCTCCTGCACATTTTGTTTTTCAGGCTGTCTGTCTTACTGCATGCTCCCAAAGTTGCCTCTGAAAGCCAGTGATCTTTGCCTGCCACTGCAGTCCAGCCAGGCCTGAGCCAGGCTGTACCTGCCCAGCCCTACCTACAGCACCACAGCCCTTTCTGGTGCTGATTTATTTTACACACACTGTACCTGCTCTGCCCAGAGTAGAGCAAGACCAATTTTTCCTTTACAAATAAGTGATTTGAACTTTCATCAAAAATACACTGGTGATAAAAGCAGACAAAGATAAATCAGCATTTTCTACTCAGAGGTGTCAGTAAAGTTCAAGAATTGGCTGCTAGATGTGTAAATCAGGATATAGGACGGGAGAAGCAAAAGCTGATCACACTCTGAGCGTTCCTTACCTCACTTCATCCTTATAATAACCCTCCTAGGTAGATATTCTCATCTCCATTTGTTAGAGGAAGAAACAGGCTGGAGGAGGTAGAAGAACTTGTCTAGACACACAGTTGGGAAGTGGCAGATGCAGGAATTGAACTTGTTGTATCTGGCACCAAATGCCCTGTTCTTTCCACGACATCATGCTGCCTTCTTGATGAGCATGCTGACTCATTTGGGAAGTTATGTAAGCTTGTAAATCACATTGAGATTCCCAGATAATGTGACTGCATAAAGAAGAACAAAGTGCTGCCATGAGTGGCTTTGGTGCAGTGACAGAAGCACCAGGGGAGGCTCTGCAATGTGGAGGAGTCAGTAAAGCTGTTGAGAGGAGAGGGGCTGCACCAGTGGGCCCCAAACCACAGGTGACCATTGATTTCTTCCCTTCCCAACCTGTTCTGTAAACAAACAGGTTTTAATTATAAACATATGAATAAAGCTATCTATCCATTTAATTCACAGAAAGTTACTGAAAACTCAAGCTTTGACCACCTGCACAAGGTATACCAAAGGTGCCCAGGGTCAGATGGTTTGGCACCACTCCAGTCACCTCCATCAAGCAAAATAAGCAAGGTAGGTCTTTAGTATCATCCACATATGCTTGTATTGACTAGAGGAGTGTCATAATCAGATTTGCATTTTGGAAAGTTATCCCAGGCCTCTGTTGGGAGAGGGAGAAGGAAGGCAATGCTGCACTGGCATTGCCATATCCCCACCCATATCCCCCTAGTATGCACCTCACACCCCCAAGGCCTGTGACTCTTTGTGCTCTGGCTTGGTAGCATGCACAGCCCATACACAGTGCAGGAGTGCAGGCCAGACGTGCTGGGAGTTGATGCCCTGAGATCAACCCCCAAACAATAATGAATGGGAGAGTTGATGGGTAAACACCCCAGCTTCCTTTCCTGTTTGTTGGGGTAACTCTAATTCATATTCTACCCTGTATCTCAGAGTTTCTCAGTGGGGTAGAGCTCCAGTGGAGTTTCTCAGTGGCATGGAGCTCTGCAGTGCTTAATAACACGTACTTTATTGGCTTCTTTCACTTCCTTGTCTTGCTCCCCAAATCAGCTCCCAGAGTTTCCTGAGATCACCTCTCAAATGATCTATTTATAGTAGAATCCATGTTTCAGGTTTCATTTCCAGAGGACCTCAAATAAAGATCATTCAGAAGCTGGTGTGGTGGCTCATGCCTATAATCGAAGCACTTTGGAAGGCTAGGGTAGGTGGGTCACTTGAGGCTAGGAGTTGAAAACCAACCTGGCCAACACGATAAAAACCCCATCTCTAAAAGAAAAAAAAAACAAAAAAACACCATTCAGTACCTCAGTGCAGAGATGAATAATGTGCACTAGACAAAGGGAAGAGAAGTGGGAATGGAGAAGAGGGTGTTGCTATGAGAAATATTCACTGTGAGATTTAGAACTTCAAAATAAGAAACTCCTACATTCAATAGTAATAAAAAACTAACCTAATTTTAAAAATAGGCTAAGGACTTGAATAGACATTTCTCCAAAGAAGACATACAAATAGCCAATAGGCATATGAAAATGTTCAACATCACTAATCATCAGAGAAATGCAAATCAAAACCACAATGTGATACCACCTCATACCTGCTTTTATATGTATATATACGATAAGTGCTGGTGAGGATGTGGAGGAAATTGGAACCCTCATATACTGTTGGTAGGAATGCAAAATGGTGCAGCCACTATGGAAAACAGTATGAAATTTCCTAAGAAAATTAAAAATACAACTACCATATTATCCAGCAATCCCACTTCTGGATATTTATCCAAAAGAATTGAAATCAGGGTCTCAAAATGATATTCGTATACACATGTTCATTGCAGCACTATTCACAATAGCCAAGATGTGAAAACAACTTAAATGTCCATCAACAGATGAATGGATAAAAAGAAAATGTGGTACATACATACAGTGGAATACTACTCAGCCTTAAAAAGGAAATTTGGCAATGTGCAACAATATAGATGAACCTTGAGGACATTACATTAAGTGAAATAAGCCAGTCACCAACAGGCAAATATTTATGACTCCACTTATATGAAATATCTAAAATGAAGTACCTATGATTTAAATTAATAGAATCATAAAATGGTGGTAGCCAGGGCTGGGAGGAAGAGGAAGTGGGGAATCACTAACAATGAGCGTTGTGTTTCAGTCAAGCAAAATAAATAAGCTCTGGAGAGCTGTTGTACAACCTTGTACCTATAGTCAATGATAATGTATTGTACACTTAAAATTTTGTTAAGAAGGTAGATCTCGTATTAAATGTTATGATTTAAAAAAAAAAAACTGGTTAAATGGAGGGGTAAGAGAGAAAGGAGGGAGAGAAAAGATTCTATAAGAACTCTGGGTCTTTGGCTTAAGCTTCTGGGTGGATACTGATGCCTTAAACTAACTAGGGAATAGATTTCAGGGGTAAGAAAGTAAATCCAATTTCGGATATGTAGGAGAAAGTGACATCTGGCTCTGTGATGTCATTTGCAAAAATGAAAGTGCCCCCTTTGCCAAAAACATCTTCCCAAACCTCTTACCATAGAGCTTGAAATTCTATATTACTCACTCCTTTGGCTTGCTTTTTCCAGAATGCTATTTTCAAAATGCTCCTGAGATTATTGATACTTTTGTTACGTGTGATAATAGCATTGTGGTTATGTAGAAAAAAATCTCCTTAACTGTTAGAAATACATGCCAAAGCATTTAATGGATAAAATAAAACACTGTCAGGGACTTCTTTCAAATAATCCAACAAAAAGAAAAATGAAGGATATATACAGGGGGATAGATAAGACAACATGGACAAAATATGTAAAATGATAAGAGCTTGGGAATGAATACAGAGGGTCCATTATACCATTTCTTTTACTTTTGTGTGTAGGAAGTTTCCATAACAAAAAAAAATAGAAGTTACCCTGGTATTTTTAAAATGCTCTTGGCAGGATATCTTATCCAATTGTCTTTAACACCTGTGAAAGAACAACCACAAAGTTTTGAAACTTTGGTTGGGTTTTATATATTTAGAATATTTAGAAGAAAAGGAGGCTGGTTCTTTCAAAAAATAGACTTGTGAGGAGCTGGATTTTAAAAGAGAGAGGAAAACAAGATTCAGATGTAGAATTTCATATGTTCTTGCCAACCACATGATTCCTTCCACCATTTTCCAGAGCATAAGAAGGCACCTCATGACCCTCCATCATGCCTTACCATGATGGTCCCCATCAGAGGCTTTATGTGCATGCTCTCATTTTATCTCCAAAACACTGTCTAGACATCCATTTCCAAGAAGAAGGAACTGAGGCTGGATAGGTCAGGTTTTCTGCCTATAAGCCATAGAGTGATCAATTCCAGGGACATTGGGAGAAGAGCCCAGGTTTGACATTCTATGTATCTGACTCCAAAGTCTGGTATATTCCACAGTCTTCAGTCTAGTTTGCTGTGGTTGGCTTTAGGTCACCTTGCCATTCCAAGAAATGGTCATTCAGAAACTGGCTTCAGCAGAATTGATTTTCTGGGAATCAGCCTGCTTCTGCTATGGACAAGCTTAAACCAAGAAAAATTAATAGCATGCCCCTTTGGGCAGGGATGACAGGGTGATAAGAGTCCATAGACTAAGTGAGGACTGTCAGGAAAGCATCATGTCTGTTTATTCCAAATCCCAGCTACTTGAGAGGCTGAGGCAGGAGGGTGGCTTGAACCTGGGAGGCAGAGGTTGCAGTAACCTAAGATCGTACCATGACACTCCAGCCTGGGCAACAGAGCGAGGCTCTATATAAAAAAAAAAAAAAAAAGAAAACCAAACTTAAAGTCAGGTAAAGGAGATAATTAAGTAAAATTGTAAGTATTTCCTATTGTTGGAATATTATACAGTATGTCCATCATTTACAGATGTTATTATCCATAATAAAGATTACAGAAAACTGTTTAGCAAAATATAGAATACATATAGGATGATTACAATTTTCTAAAACATGCTATCTGTGGAAAAAATATTGGAATAAAAAAATGTCAAAAAATATTATGTGATTGTCCTTAGGCTACAGAAAAATGGGTTTCAAAATATTTTAATTTTTCATTCTATTTTAAAATTTTCCTGTAATGAAATATATTACTTTTGGAATGGAAAAAATGCTTTAAAACCCCCAAAGAACTTCATTTTACTTTTTAACCTTGTTTAATCAAGGGTAATGCTTATAAGAATGAAAGAAGTTAAAGATATTTCTGGTTTCATGTTCCGAATTTAAGTATTATTTGGTAGGAACTCTGAGAAAGTGATGCTAAGTTATGTCTTGGCTGCCCTCAGTTAGCCACATATACATGAAGCAAACCTCATCACTGGGTCTCCATCCCCTTTCCTTGATCAATATTAGGAAACACTGAGAAGTCTGATCACCTAAAGATCAATGTTCAATGATGGCAAAATACATACTCTAGCAATAGGTCTAGCAAAATCTGGTATATTCCACAGCCTTCAGTTTAGTTTGCTGTGGTTAGCCCTAGGTCACCTTGCCATTCCAAGAAGTGGTCATTCACAAACTGGCTTCCACTGAATTGATTTTCTGGAAATCAGCCTGCTTCTGCTGAGGACAAGATTCAACCAAAAGATGGGAGACCTCAGGAGGTTAAATTCATAAGCCAATATTTTAAATTAGCCATCCTTGGTATATTTAACGAGTCACAAGAGTTAGATTCTGTAAATAATAATCTTTCAGAGGTCAGATCCATGCTGAATTTTTAGAAAGCCACAGTCAACCCAGGCAAAAACTTCAATGATATCTTTTACCTGGAGAGGGAACACTCTCTACAACTATTAAACCAAAAGCTATACTACACTCACCCACAGTAGCTACTGAGTTCCTTGGCAGGGGCTAGTGGTTTCTTTTAGTCAATTCTGAAACTGAAATATTGAATATCTATCATTTAGAAACATGAAATCTAGCAGTTTCCTTAAAGAGGCTTTAACCAATATGGCAAAAAATTATAAAAAGTTTCCTTATAGCCTAACTAGCATTAGGGCCTGCCATGTACCCTGAGTCCTGGGTCAGTTTCTTCAGGGGACATGTGGAGCAAGAAACAGAAATTGTTCTGAAGGAGAGGAAGAAAAAAACAAGTACAAAATTGCCTGTAATGCCAAGTAGAATAAAAGAAATAGGATGCAAATTTAGTGAAGAGAAAAATCACCTCTATTTGGGGGCCATATGGGAAGATTTCCAGAGAATGAGGCATTTGAATCAGACCTTGATAGGCAAAAGATTTCGGTCAGCCACAGGCAGCGGGAGGGTATAAGATGACATTGATGGAGGGAATAACATTATCAAGCAAAATAAGATATGAAGAAAAGAACACTTTCCAATCTGAATTTCTAAAAATGCAAGTGGCCCTATGAACGGAGGACACGGGAGTCATGGCCTGGCCTATGACTGGGCTTCGTTTTGCTGGGGATGAACTTGGAGCTCTGTGAACTTTGAGAGGCAGGTGGAGGAGAAAGCTGCTTGGCTGGCGGGGCTCCCAGAACAGACTTTGGGAGTGGAGAAGAGGAGTGAGAGCTCTTATTGCTACAGAGATAAGAACTTGGTAGGAAGCAATAAGAGATATTAAAAAGACATCATTGGGGCATTTGCTTTGTGATATAACTCCCTTCCTCTGTATCCACATAAATCGTTGATCAAAATCTACATTACTAGACAATGTGTTAGACTTGAATTTTGAGAGTGTGTGTGTATGTGTGTGCTGGGGGCGGTGTATGTGTGTATGGGTTGAGGGGTGGTGGGTATGGAGTATATTCTAGAGGTGAGAGTGGGATGAAAGTAGAGGCAGCAAGAGGGGTGTAGGCACATTTGGTTAACAACTTACTTGGAGGTGAAGAAAGGCAACTGGTCACTCATTCATTCACCACTACTATGTTGTACCAAACACTGCACTAGTGTCGAGATGCAGGGGATCCAAGTCTGATATGGTCCTGGTCTTCAAAGAGCCTACCTTCTTGTTGGGATGGGGGCAGAGATGAGCTAAATGATTTAAAAAATGCATAATTAGGATTGCAGTTAGTGCTATTAAGGAGAAGCCTGTATTGCTATGAAAGTTCATAGAGGGATTTGACCTTGTTGGTTAGTTAAGGGGCTATAGAATTGAGTTCCGAAGGACAAATAGGAATATAGAGTGTAGTGTTTAAGGTAGAGCAAAGAGTAAGTGCAAAGGCCCTGTGGAAAGAAGGAACTCAAGACAGGCCAGCATGTCTGAAGAATAGACAGTGATAAGGAGCATGGAGTCAAGCACCGCTGAAGAGACAGGAAGCAGACCACCACTGGGTGTTGTAAGTCAGGTAAGGGTTTAATTAGGGGTGATAGGATCATTTATATTTAAGAAGGTCACTCTGGCTGCTGTATGGAAAAGGAATGGGAGTAAGACAGGAGTAGATGTACACAAGAAAATCAACTAAGAGGCTGCTGCTCTCCCCAGGCAAAAGATGATGGTAGGGCTATATTTTATCACAAATAAGAAAGCATGACATAGCCTCAGATAAGAGGATTAACCTTCTTTTATATTACATTGAAAACGTGCAAGAAAATGTCACCTTACACTTTGTAGGAAACTTATTGTTCCTTTCAAGTAGAAATATGTGCTTATGTAAGTGACTTTAGCAATAAGAACAGATATATGCTAACACTAGGATGAAAAGACTGTCTCTGAAGAAGTGGAATGCAAAATGTAATATTCATAAGCTTTTGGATATGTCTACATGACAGATGTGTTTCTAAGCATACTGTATATTTTAGGCAGAATTTTTTTTCCTGGCTGGTTTGTATACAGCACACTGAATGGGTAGAGGGAGCAAAGCATTATGTATGAGTTACTTTGTCTTTTTATACAAACAATTCACAGATGCATTCCTACTAAAATGCTTCCATTTCACCTTCAATTCATCTTGTATGCTCTAATTTTGTTCAAGGAGAAATGAACAAATCGCAATGGCATTGGGAGATTATAATACACCTCTATAGATCAAATAGACAAAATGAATAAAGATATGAGAGATTCAAACCACACAATTAACAAGCTTGGTTTAACCTTGCACTCAATAAATATGAAATATATATTCTTTTTAAGCTCACATGGAACTATTATATAAACTGATTACGTATGATTACAAGGTATGTTCATTTTCTAATAACAGAATATGTATAATTTTTACATTTTTCTAGATGTATGTTAAATTTCCATAAAATGGCTTGTTTTTATATGTACCTATGCAAAAATCTTGCATGTTCTTCACATGTACCCCAAACCTAAAATGCAATAAAATACATATTTAAAAAAAAAAAGCCAAACCAAACCAGAGCAAACAAAGATACAGTCTCAAAGAGAGGCTTATCAAATTTCAAAGTAATATCACACAAGTTTCTCTGACAATAATGCAATTAAATTAAAAATTAACAATAAAAAAGCATTTTTTTGGAAAGCAAAAAATGCATTTCTAAAGAATTTGTGACAAGAAAAAAATCATAAAGGAAGCTGTCAAATACTCAGAACTCTATATCAATGAAAATAATAAAAACTTGTGGAGATGTAACTAAATGAAATGTACAGAATAATACACATGTATTATAAAACAGAAACACAAAAATGAATGAGATAAGCATTCTATTTAAAAACCAAGAAGACATTAGAGTAAATGCAAGAAAAGTAGAAGGGAGGGAAAAGTATTGATTAGAAATGATTAAATAAATAAAAATAGAATCCCAATCAAAGTCCCAGCAATTTATTTTGTGGATATCAATGATCTGACTCTAAGATTTATATGGAGCAGTAAAAAACCCAGAATAGCTAACACATTGTAGTAGAGGTCCAAGCAAATGCAATAAATAAATACTGGGCCAAAGACCTTAACAGACACCTTACCAAAGAAGACACACAGATGACAAATAAGCACAGGAAAAGATGCATTGTATTATGTATCATCAGGAAAATGCAAATTGAAACAACAATGAGCCACCCCTTTATATCTGTTAGAATGATCCAAGTAAGAACACTGACAACATCAAATGCTGAAGAGAATGTGAAGCAACAGGAATGCTCACTAATCAGTTGTGGGAATGCAAAATGGTACAGCCACTTTGGAAGACAGTTTGGTGCTTTCTTATAAAACTAAACATACTCTTACCATACAATTCACCAGTTATGCTCCTTGGTATTTACCTAAAGGAGTTGAAAGCTTATGTCCACACTAACACCTGCATGTGGATGTTTATAGTAGCTTTATTCATAATTACCAAAACTTAGAAGCAACCAAGATGTCCTTCAGTAGGTCAATGGATGAATAAATTGTGGTACATGAAGACAATGGAATGTTACCCAGCCCTAAAAAGAAATGAGATCTCAAGCCCATGAAAAGATATGAAGTAACCTTAAATGCATATTACTAAGTGAAAGAAGACAATCTGAAAAGGCTAGATACTATAGGATTCCAACTATTGGCCTTCTAGAAAAGGCAAAATTATGGAAAGAGAAAAAGATCAGTGGTTGCCAGGGGTTGGTGAGAAGGTGAGGGGAGGGTTGAATATGCAGAGCACAGAGAATTTTGAGGGCAGGGAAAATATGCTGTATGATATCATAATATTGGATACATGTCATTATAGGTTTGTCCAATACATAGAATGTGCAACACCAAGGGTGAACCACAATATAAACTATGGACTTTATAATGATGTCAATGTTGGTTCATCAATTGTACTACTCTGATGGAGGATGTTGATAATGGGGGAGGCTATCTATGTAGGGCACAAGTAGTAAGTATATGGACAATCTCTGTATCTTCCCCTTAATTTTGCTGTGAACCTAAAACTGCTCTAAAAAATAAAATCTTTTAAAAAAATTGGTTCTAGCATTCTGCCCGTGGATACCACCAAAGAAGCATCATTAAAGTCTCTCTTCTCCCTGAGATCATGTCTAAGTCGGAGTCTCCTAAAGAGCCGGAACAGCTGAGGAAGCTCTTCATTGGAGGGTTGAGCTTTGAAACAACTGATGAGAGCCTGAGGAGCCATTTTGAGCAATGGGGAACGCTCACAGACTGTGTGGTAATGAGAGATCCAAACACCAAGCGCTCCAGGGGCTTTGGGTTCATCACGTATGCAACTGTGGAGGAGGTGGATGCAGCCATGAATGCAAGGCCACACAAAGTGGATGGAAGAGCTGTGGAACCAAAGAGAGCTGTCTCAAGAGAAGATTCTCAAAGACCAGGTGCCCACTTAACTGAGAAAAAAAAAATTCGTTGGTGGCATTAAAGAAACACTGAAGAACATCACCTAAGAGATTATTTTGAACAGTATAGAAAAATTGAAGTGATTGAAATCATGACTGACAGAGGCAGTGGCAAGAAAAGGGGCTTTGCCTTTGTAACCTTTGATGACCATGACTCCGTGGATAAGATTGTCATTCAGAAATACCATACTGTGAATGGCCACAACTGTGAAGTTAGGAAAGCCCTGTCAAAGCAAGAGATGGCTAGTGCTTCATCCAGCCAAAGAAGTCGAAGTGGTTCTGGAAACTTTGGTGGTGGTCGTGGAGGTGGTTTCGGTGGCAATGACAACTTTGGTCGTGGAGGAAACTTCAGTGGTCATGGTAGCTTTGGTGGCAGCTGTGGTGGTGGTGGGTATGGTGGCAGTGGGGATGGCTATAATGGATTTGGTAATGATGGTGGTTATGGAGGAGGCGGCCCTGGTTACTCTGGAGGAAGCAGAGGCTATGGAAGTGGTGGACAGGGTTATGGAAACCAGGGCAGTGGCTATGGCAGCGGGAGTGGCAGCTATGACAGCTATAACAATGGAGGCGGAGGCGGCTTTGGCGGTGGTAGTGGAGGCAATTTTGGAAGTGGTGGAAGCTACAATGATTTTGGCAGTTACAACAATTAGTCTTCAAATTTTGGACCCATGAAGGGAGGAAACTTTGGAGGCAGAAGCTCTGGCCCCTATGGTGGTGGCGGCCAATACTTTGCCAAACCATGAAACCAAGGTGGCTATGGCGGTTCCAGTAGCAGCAGTAGCTATGGCAGTGGCAGAAGATTTTAATTAGGAAACAAAGCTTAGTAGGAGAGGAGAGCCGGAGAAGTGACAGGGAAGCTACAGGTTACAACAGATTGAGAACTCAGCCAAGCATAGTGGTGGCAGGGCCTAGCTGCTACAAAGAAGACATGATTTAGACAAATACTCATGTGTATGGGCAAAAAACTCGAGGACTGTATTTGTGACTAATTGTATAACAGGTTATTTTAGTTTCTGTTCTGTGGAAAGTGTAAAGCATTCCAACAAAGGGTTTTAATGTAGATTTTTTTTCTTTTTCTTTTTCTTTTTGCACCCATGCTGTTGATTGCTAAATGTAATAGTCTGATCGTGACGCTGAATAAATGTCTTTTTAAAAAAAAATTGGTTCTATTAAAAGACAAAGTAGATAGCCCTCTAGCAGAGTGGATGAAAGAAAATGCAATAACATTAGAAGTAAAAGGGGGAATATAATTATAAAGACAGTGGAGATTTTTAAAAAATCATAGAATGAGACTTGAAACTCTATGGCAGTACATTTAAAATAAGATATTTGAGAAAATACAAGTTATCAAAATTAATTCAAGAAGAAAGAGAAAAACTGAACAAACCAACAACCATCACAGAAGTTAAGATGGTAGCCAAAAATCTCCCCTGAAAAAAACATGGAAGACCCAGACAGTTATACAATAATTCACCAAGTCTTCATCAAATAGATAGTCCCTATCTTATACAAACTGTTTTGGAGAGTTAAAAAAAAGAGAGAGAGAGAAATCTATCTTACTCATTTCATGGAAATATACTACCTCCATTAAAAAGAAGGAAGTATAGCCAATGTATACACATAAATATAATAACAAAACTAGACAAGAACAAAATAAGCTAAAAAAAAAACCCCTTAGAGTCAATTCACCTATGAAAATAAATGACAAAATTCAAAGTAAAATGCTAACAAATATAATTCATCAGCATATTAAGAAGCATACAACATGGCCATGACGTAGGGTTAATTCCAGAATACAAAACAGCATATCAGAACAACTTACCAAGGCTATCTACCCTTTTAATAAACTAATAGAGAAAAAACAGATAATAGGTTTTTAATATGTTGAAATAGCATTTGATTAATTAAACACTCATTCAAGATTTTAAAAAAACAAAAAACTTTTCGCAAGGAATATAAGGGAATTTTCTTAACCCAATAAATGTTTCTGTCAAAACTTATAGCAAGCATCACATATGATGGTAAAATATCAGATTATTTTCAATTAGAGTTGGGAACAAGATAGGAGACCCCCTGTTTCCACTATTATGCAACATTGTAGTAGAGGTCCAAGCGAATGCAATAGGAGAGAGAGGAATAAAATAAGTTTAAGACTTGGAAAAGAAAAGGCAAGACTGCTATTTGCATGAGCTATGACTGACTACATAGAAGAATTTTAAAGACTGTAAAGAAAAGCTAATAGGACTAATAAAAATTTCAACAAGGTTACTGGTTCTAAGTATACAGAAGTCAATAATATTTCTATATCTCAGCAATAACCAATTAGAAAATGTAATAGGAAAAATAAACAACAGCAGCAATAAATATCTATAATGTAGCAGCAATTACTGTTTTAGGGAGGCAAGAGTTCTTTATGGAGAAAGTTACAAAACATGATTGAAGGGCATAAAAGGAGGCCTGACTAATGATCGCGGATGGGAAGATACAATACTTACAAGGATGTCTATTCTCCCCAAATCAAGCTATAAATTTAGTGTAATTCCAATAAAAATCTCAATGGATTTTTTTTCATGGGACTTAATAACTTAATTCTAAAATTCATCTGAAAGAGAAAAGGAACAAACGTAGTTTAGGCAATTTTAAACTACAATAAAACAGAGGGATTTGTCCCATGAAATAACAAGACATTACAAGGCCATAGTAAAAACCTATAGAAAGCAACATATGTTTGTCATGGACAGGCCTTGTAGTCTCAAAGCTCCTGCTGAATACATTACTACTTAGGAAGAAAGTAGTCCTAGGTGGGCCTTTTCTAAATATGATAAGCTTCTGTGACTTACATGTACCTATTGGGTGGAAACAGTTGTATACTTATTCATGACTGATCAGGACAGTGCCCAAGTTAACAGAACTACAGAAGAGTTGTATACAATGAAAGCCTCCCATACAGTGCTTTGGGACAATCTAGACTGAAGTGTCAAACTGACGCAGTAATGTCTTCTTTTGGAGGAAGAGTAAGTGCTAGGTAAACAAATAGAAAGTGGGTTACTTGAGCTCAGGTAGGATCCTTAAAACCCTAAAATATTGTTCTTATTCTCCCTTAGGGCAGCTGTTCATTTCAATATTGGGAGGCAAGGTCCCAGGGTGGCTATATAACCAAAGAAATGACTGTCCTTGCTACCCCATGTTCCTGGATCTCCTTGCCAATTAAATTAATTCACATAGCACTCTGTCTCTTCCTTGCAGCCTTAACAAGACTAACAGGAAGATCCAAGTTTGATGGGGCCTCATTTATATATAATTTGGAGGAGGCTTCTTTAAGAAAAATTATACAAAATTTCAAATATAATTAGATATAAATGAGAAAAATCACAATAAATTATAAATTTAAAACATAAACATCACAAAATGAAAAATATAGAAGAAATAAAATATTTGTGCTAGTTTTCTGAAATACCTCTATATTTTTTCCTATATATTTTGGCTGCATACACTTTGTTTACCTCTTCAGATAAGATTTTTGTAATATTGTGTTCTATAGAGGAAAAAGCAAGATAATGCAGTGGGTTTTTGATTTACCTTTCTTACAGTTTCTATATCCACCAGTTCATCTTCTGTTCCTGGAAACCCTGTCCTATTCACATAACCCAACCACCCCTTTTCATTTGCACTCCTTCACTTCACCACATTATCCCCCTTCTTCTAGCCAAACACAGGTATATATACTTCATCCTTGTATCCTATGGCCTGATAAATTCTGTTAGGAGATTTCTTGGAGAAGTAAAGGTCTTCAAAACAGGAAACATTCATTGATGAAATGACAACTTGTGAAATTGTTCCCCACCTAAATTGTCCAATCTTTTTAACCTTAGTGCCTACACCCACTTCTATCAAAGTCCTGGTCATTCATTTGGAAATATCCAGCCCTCAAATACAACTGAAATCTATTGCAAAGTAAAAGTGCAAATCTTGCAAAAGATGTGGAGTTTCATGACCTTGAAAGCGATGTTAGTAAACTGCTAGATCCACATGTAAAGTCATTAATAAAGGAGGACCTCACAGAGTTGGACCAGATAACAAACGAAAAAGAGAAAATCAATGAGAACAATGTTGACATCAAACTTCAAAAGGAAATAATCTGATTTCAAAGGATTAAGAGAGGACCTTCGGAAAACTAGATAAACGCCTCCAAAACTTTTGCAAATATGACCCTGCTGCAAAAATCAAATGCACTAGGATGGATAATGAGCCATTTAAAAAATTATGTTCCTCCTCCAAAACAACATTTGAGTTGTCAGAATTAGCACATACTTGCAATTGTAAACTAATGTGTTAAATATAAGATAAATTCATTTTCATAATTTGTGGTTAAATTTTTTTCCATATAAAGTTCAAGTCTTTTTCTTTCACTCTTTCACTATGGCATCTACGTCTCTATCTTTAATGGATTCACTCTAAGAGGGCCTTTTCTGGTACCAATTATCTTTGGAAAAGAAAGACCTTTCGTATTCATCTTTGTTTTACAAACATGTAATATATTTTAATACCACCGCCCCCCACTGGAAATTGTAAAAAATACAGACTCTTGGGTTCCTCTGCCAGACCAATTTTGAATCTCCACGTGGAGAATGCGAACTAGGAGCTGAAAAGAAATTCCATATTTTAATTTAGTAATTATTTTTACTTCGACTTTTTTTTTTATTAGAGGTGCAATCTCACTATGTTGCCTAGGCTGGACTTGAACTCCTGGGATCAAGGGATTTTCCTGCCCCAGTCTCTCCAGTAGCTGGGACTACAGGTATATGCTACCACATCCGGCTAACCTCCCTATTTTTAACACTTATCATAAGCAATACTCGTGATAATCAGGCAAGTGTAGTGATAACCACTTTAACTCATCCAAAGCTTTCTCTCTTTACAGTAACCTTAAGAAATCTTCTTTAACCTTGTCAGCTGGTTTTGAGGTAGGAGGCAGGACTCTGGCACCGCACCAAATTGAGCACTAGCCTAAACAGGGAGGCGGTGGAAGCCGCTTTCCATCAGATACGCCCACCAGTGTGTCAGTTCATCATTGCCATGGCAACACTCAGGAGTTACCGCCCCTTTCCAGGGCAATGACCCGATGAGCGAAAAGTTACTACCCCTCTCCTAGAAATGACTGCATAAACTGCCTCTTAATCCGCATGTTATTAAAAGTGGGAATAAATGTGAGTATAAATGTGACTCAAAGCTGGCCTGAGCTGGTGCTTTCGGCCTCTGGGGTAGCCTGCTCTACAGGAGCAGTCACGGCTGTGACACCACCACAGCTGTAACACGGCCTCTTCAATAAAGTTGTTTTCTTCTACCTCCGAGTTGCCCTTGAATTCTTTCCTGGGCAAAGCCTAGGCCTTTCCTGGGCCAAGGACTCTGGCTGCCTAAGTCCCACTTTGGGGCTTGCCTACCCTGCATCAGTTCGAACTCACTGGACTCATTTCTTTATCCTTTTATTTTTTTACATGCTCTCCTTCCAAGATCAGTGTCTTATCTATACAGGTTTTTGAACCTTTATGTAGTCTTTAGAATTTTATAACCTGCTCCTGCTTCGTATTGTCTTATTTTCTTAACATTTCAAAACACCTCTGAACACGTCAGAACTTGTTTTTTCTCCTTTAAAATTGAGTCTGAATAACTCATCTTGTGTTCATTTTTTTCTACATTCCCTCAGCCTGCATTCTCATGAGTCCATTTTGCTCTATATTCATCTGGACATTAGACTACTTTGCAAATATTATCATTTCTGCCTATTCTTTCTGTACTGCGTGATTGTCAGCTCCTGGAAGACAAACACCCATCTTCCATTTTGTCTGGATTTCCCCAACTGAGCCTAAAAGATTGACTTAACACCGACTAGTGTGCTGTGTGCTTCACGCAGTGGGTGCTTAATAAATATTTTAAAACAATATTAAAATGTTGAATATATTTGACAGCAGTGCTGCTCCTCATCATTTCAAATGCCAACACTTTCTAGGTCCCTTTTCTGCCTAGCAACCATTTCCCAACATACCTGCATGCCCCCAGACGTTTCAGGAAAGCTGGGGCTCTTTTTTGATCCATCTGTCTTTGCCCCAGTTACGGAAATATTGCTTACATTTTCCCCCTTAGGAGTATCTTATTGGTACTCAAAGACCCTACCACGAAACCTGAAGTTGCTTTTTCTCCTTGGTAATTAGGGGAGAGGGAAAGACAGCAGGGATAGAGAAGGTTTTATTTCCTATTACTTCAGTTTTCACCCCAGATCGTCGTTTACAATAAGATACAATGCCCCTATGAGTATTTTCATACCTGTAAGGATGTTTTTCATTCTTTGCATCTGAAGAGCGCTAAGGATTTTAGGCAAGAGGTTTCAGTATTTTAACTAAGATATTGTTTTCTCATGAGCTTTATTCAACACCTCATTTTCTTCTTAATCTCCTATAGTCAGTCAGGCTACATTTCTCTAGTAACATCATTTTTCCTATTAATCATTATTTCGTACCTGTGAAAAATAAGCTTACACTTAATGTATGAATCTAGCATGGTAATGTACAGAAAAGCTTATTCTCTTCTTCTGGGGTAGGGAATTCTGTTTTGCAAAGCACTTTGCCATCTATTTGTTAGCTTATTTAATCCTCACAACAACTTTGCTAGGTGGACAGAACAAGAGTCATTATCTCCAGGATAAGGAAAAGGAAACTCAAGAGACGTTAAGTGACTTATCCAAGGTGATACAGCACGGATAGACGCATACTGAAAACCCGAACTTCTGACTCCACAGGCACTCCCACACAGCTCAACTTTACATAATAGGCCCTGGTTATGTCAGTAGAGAGAAGGCTGCTAGGAAGAAGCAGCAGGGTGACAGATGGGTAGGTGGGGAGCGGCGGTGGGGCGCGGAGCATTGCTCGAAGACCACTCACCGCAGGCGCAAATCACTGTGCGAGCGCCGGCAGGTTCAGGAAAGTAGGAGAAAGAGGCGGAGCTCTTTGCTAATACCGTCCCCCTACCTCTGTTACCGCGCAGGCGCACTTCCTGAAGCTGAAGGTCAAAGGGACTCCGAATCGCGCAGGCGCACTTCCTGAAGCTGAAGGTCAAAGGGACTCCGAATCGCGCAGGCGCGGTTGTGCCTTGGGGTGCCAAGATGTCGTTCCCAAAGTATAAACCGTCGCGCTTCGCCACTCTGCCCCAGACCCTCGACCCAGCCGAATATGACATATCTCTGGAAACCCGGCGGGCGCAAGTCGAGCGGTTGGCCATTAGAGCCCGGCTGAAACGAGAGTACCTGCTTCAGTACAACGACCCCAACCGCCGAGGACTCGTCGTGAGTGGGGGTTGGGGGGGGCCTTCCTGGCAAGAATAGTGCCCGAGTCCTGGAAGGGACCGACAGAGACCACGCAGCGGGGCGGCCACCGCTTTCGATCAGTATCTCAGACGCAGGTCCTCTTCCAGGCACAGAGAACAGGCCAAGTCACTACCCTTTGACCTGTGTCAGAGGTTGGCCCTTGAGAGAACCGGCTATGGACTCAGACCTGGCTGTGTTTGAATCCTGGTTTGATCACTTCCCGCCTGCATGACTTTGAGAAAGTTATTCACTCTGCTTATCCTCGATTTTCTGTCTGCAAAAGGGGCGTAATATAGTGCCTACTCTTTGTCAGGCTGTGAAGATTAGATGAGATAGAGCATGTGACTGGCCTAGCACAGTGCCTCATTCGTAAGGCATGTTCAGAAAATGTTTATATATATAAAATATTAAAGAGCTGGCGTTTACCTTTCATTTTACAGCTCATTTGGATACTGCTCTCTTCTGATGGGAATACAGTGATTCCTTCAACCTGTGTCTTTTAAAGACCCTGCAGCTTTTTGAAGTTCTAGGCTTTGGAGTCAGACCCCAAGGCACTACTCATTGGCTGACTCTATTACCTTGGGCAACTTTAACTCCTCTGAATTATAGTTTCTTGATTTCATATAGAAAAGATGTGCATTCTTCGTAGAATTATGAGGTTAAATAAGGTAGTCAGTCAGTTTAACATTCTCAGCACATAATATATGCCCAGTAAACTGGGAGTTAACAGGTGTGCTTTTATTAGTTTTCTATACAGGAACTGTCTGAGTAGGTTAAATACGATGTTAACAAAACAAGACTTTTCCCACACGTTGCATTGGTGTTTGGAATTTTTGGAAGTTATGAGGATTGAATGAAAGTTACAGTGTGCCAGGTACTGTGCTAAAGTCTTTTTGAGTATTACTTTATTTACATATCACAACTATTTGGATAATTAAGCTCTACCACAGTCCCCATTTTACAGATGAGAAGACAACATGGGAAGGACAAATAGGTCATACAGAGATATCCCCTTAGCAAGTGATAGAGCAAAATTCTAACCCCGGTTTGTATAACCCACAGCATCTGCTTTTAACTAGTTGCCTGTACTGTCTCCAGCCAGAACCGTGTTAACTTGGGAAGAGGGTGCAGACACATTTATTATAAACTCACATGATTGGGTTTGATGTGTTAGGTAGTGTGATGTATTAAAAAAGAATAAGGTCTCAGACAGACCTGAAAGTGAAACCTAGATCTTCTATTTTCCATCTCTCTGCCTCAGAGTAGTTTCATTTTCTCATGTGTAAATAAAGGTAATACTACCTGTCTCTTTGGTTTTGTTGATTAAATGAGTGGGTGACACCATCATTTATCAATCAGTACATGTAAATTCTCTTGCCTAATCTTTTTTTTTCTTGAGACAGGATCTTACTCTATCACCCAGGCTGGAGTGCAGTGGTGCAATCTCAGCTCACTGCAACCTCTGCCTCCTGGGCTCAAGTGTCCTCCTACCTCAGCCTCCCAAGTTCCTGGGACCACAGATGTGCACCACCATGTCTGGTTAATTTTTTGTATTTTTTATAGAGATGGAGTTTCATCATGTTGCCCAGGCTAGTCTTGAACTCCTGAGCTCAAGCGATCCTCCTGTCTCTGCCTCTAAAGTGCTGAAATTACAGACTGGAGCCACTGCACCTGGCCGTCTTGTCTAATCTTTAAGAATAATTGATTGAGTCAGTAGATAATTACTCAGGGTCTATTATGGCCCTATTTTATACTCGAGGTAACAATGGAGATCAAAACAGGCAAAAATTCCTGCCTTGTAGAAAGAACTTTCTAGTGGGGGAGACAAGAAACAAGTTAAAAAATTAAAATTATTTAACATGTTAGGTAGTGGTAGCTGATAAGAAAAAAAATAAAGCAGGGGAGATTCAGAGTGTGTGTATGTTGTAGGGTAGGTAAGCAGCTACAATTTTAGACAGGCCCAGGGAAAGCCTCTGGCAGTGGCATCTGAAAGAAATGGGGTGAGGGAGCTAGCTCTCTGGGAAAGCAGTGTACTAGTCAAAGGGAAAGGCAAGTGCAAGGGCTGTTAGGCAGGAGAGTGTCCAGTTAGTTGAAAAAATACTAGAAAGACTATCGTGGCTAACGTGGAGAAAGGTGAGGGCAGAGTGGGACGAGATCACGCCAGGCCTTGTACGTCATTGTAAGGACTTAGACTGAATAGGGAGTTTCATGATCTGGACTTAACAAGTTCTCTCTGGCTGCTTAGTTGAGAATTGACTATGGGGGAAAGGACAGGATCAGGGAGAGTAGGAGGCTTTTGTAGTAATCCATCTCTTAGTTGATAGTGGCCACCAGGGTGGTGGCAGAAGGTGGTGAGAAATGATAGATTCTGGGTGTATTTTGAAAGTAAAGCCAACCAGGTTTGCTGATAGATTGGATATGGTGTATGAAAGAGGAGAGTCAAGGATGACTCTAAGGTTTTTGACCAAGTGATTTTAAGAATGAAGTTGCCTTTTACCAAGAAACAGGAATGTGATGAGAGGAGCAGGTATGAAGGTGGAGTAGACTATTGGGAAATCAGTTTGGGATATGTGACATTTTAGATGCCTGTTAGACCGTATGTCAGAGTTGAGCAGGTGGTTGGATATTAAGTCTGGAGTTCAGGGTAGAGGTATAGGGCTGGAGATAAAATTTTGGGAATCATCAGCCGCTAGATAGATATGTAAAGTCATCTGACTAGACAGCATCATCTAGAGAGTAAATGTAGATAGGAAAGGCCAGCAAGACCAAGGTCCAATTTTAAGAGACTGAGGAGATGAGGAGGAAAAGAGCAAAGAGATAAAGAGAGAATGGCCATAGAGTTAGCAGGAAATCCAAGCAGGTGTGGGCCTGGAAGTTTCACATGAAGAAATGATTTCCAGGAGTTTTCACCATTTCAGATGCTGCCAAGAGTCCATTGGACTTTTAGTGATATCAAAAGAGGAAAACTCTCTCCCATGGTGTCTTTTGGAACCTCTCTTAATAACATTACTGGGCTTAATGAACTATGGTCATGGGGCAATTGGTATATGAAATGAAATGTCTGTATCTGGAAGAAAGATCTGGCAGATACTAGGCACAGAGAGGTGACTAGGAGATTGAGATGTCTGCCATTGGATAGTCATTCAAACACATTGATAGCAGAAAGGATGTAAGAATAGATGCATGAATCCTTTTGGGTATTGAGCTTTAACATCCCCTTGGACCTACATCTTGTGTCTTTACCCTCTTTATTCTTTTTGGTAATATAGGCAATAATAATAATGCTGCAGAACACTTACATGTGCTTTCACTTTAATGTGGTATGATAACATCAATAGTTTCTAGAACAGCCGAATATATTTTGGGACTTTGAATCTAGTAGTGAGTGCTTATACCCTTTCAGTCTGATTGAAAGGAACAGAAACATTTCCATCATATGACATTTTTGTTTTTTTACTTCTAAGCTGCAGCTGATTATCTCAGGATAAAATAGTTATAATTTAGTTTAGTTTGAAATAAGACGGTGGAAGACCTAGTTAAATTATTTTAGTCCTGCAAATCATGACTTCTTGATGTTGGTTAGGACCTTGAATATTCATGTCATAAAGTCTTAAAGCTGATTTTATTTGCTTATTTTTATCTGTAGTTAATTGGAGAGACTAATTTTGTAAAAATCACTTGGGGATTTAGCTAATTAAATTTGATTATGTGTTTGGGGGTGGATTTGCCATTCATGGATAGTTATTCTAGTATAAATATATTAAAATGGACAATTATTTTCTTTTTTGTTCTTTTTTCTTTTTATTGTTGTAGACAACTATTTTCTTTACCAAGACCAGTCTGATTATTATTTTAACAATTTTGAGCTTTCTACAAAACTTTTAATAGTGTGAAATGTCTGAATTAATGCTTTTAAAATATCAGTCAAGTCAGCTTAAAAAACTTAACAGTTCAGCTAGTCTACCCCCTGAGCTTCTTTTTGCCTTGAAAGACTATTTTGGGGATAGCATTAGAAAGGGTCCTGGAAACAAAATACAAAGCATGATAGAGCATATGAAATCTGTTTTTCTTCATTCGGAATATTGCATGGTCCATTCACACTAGGCAATGAAGCTAAAAGCAGTCCAGAGAAGAGTAGATAAAAATGATAAAGGAGAAAAAGTGGCTTATCTGACAGTTTAAAGATTAGGATTCTTAAATAAACAGAAAGCTAATTGGTGATATGAGTCTTCTACATTCTAAAGGATTTGAACAAGATCATTAGAATTCAAAAAACACTAGACATGAAAGGTCTTTCCTGAAGCTGTTTAGGAATATTCATGGCACATCCTTAACTGTTACAGAGAACAAAAGGCATCTGTGCTCCTTCACAAAAGTCCTGGTGAATTTGTTTCTCAATTGATCCTTCTTAAGTTTTGTAACTTTTTGTTTTCATTAATTTTAGGTAAATCCTGCCTTGGTTCGTTGGGCCTATGCAAGAGCAAACGTCTATCCTAATTGCAGAGCTACTCCTAAAACCTCACTACTGGGAGCTGTGTTTGGAATTGGGCCCCTCATCTTGTGGTATTATATTCTCAAAACTGACAGGGTAAGTATTCAGAGCAGATGTTTATTATTCAAGTGATAGGTTCCCTCGCTAGGGGCCAGCTGCAGTTCTTTCTCATGACTGCCACCAGTGCCCCTCCCACCTTGGAGCTGTATGCTGCTTTCCCTTCCTCTCTTTTTGCCAGCGAGAGTTAAAACAGAAAGTGTTCAGTTATCTTTGTCTATTTTTTAGTTCATTTGTTTTTTAAAAAGATGATATTTATTGGGTTAAGTATTAGCAGAATACATAAATCATTTAGTGCATTTCATGTTAGCGTGAATTCTATTTATGTTGGTCACATTTTGTGAATTAATGTTAAAACCTATTAATACTCTAGGGACAGAGAAGCACAAGCTGCCTGTGTGCGGAATAGCTGTCATCAGAGGCCTGGGTGTATGATTGTAGAGAAAGCCAAGCTGATCTTTGGCACCAAACCATTCTACTTCTGGTACTAGACCCTGAGCTGCAGCCCCCAGGCTTGTGATGCCATCAAGACTGGAGCCCACTTTGTCTAGCTTTGTCTTTAACTGGCTCATCTGCTTTCCCATGTATTTTGATTATCTAGTAAATACTTAACAGAAAGATGATCCACACTTTCTCAGAAAGTGTTTGTATTTTGCTTTCAATGTTTGCTTTTTAGTGGGATAATATATTTCTAATGACTAAAATGTGAGTAAGATGTTTTTGAATAGGAGCATTTTTTTTTACTGTCTCTTCAGTTCTTCAGATTACTATTTCCTCACACACTCCCTGGGCTTTAGGCAATGGGGACTGCAATTAAGTTTGGAGTGTTTCATCCTGTTTTTCAGTTGTACCATGGATTGTGCCAGAATGCAGTTTTTCTTTTCCTTTTTATTTACTTATTTATTTTTCTCTAATGCATCCAACTGGCCAAATGTATTGTTTTTAATGTACTTTTTTTCTGTCTATACAGGATAAGAAAGAAAAACTTATCCGGGAAGGAAAATTGGATCGAACATTTAATCTCTCATATTAAGTCTGGCAATGGTGACTGCATGTATTACCTCAAATAAATCATCTATTAATCATTAAGAGTAGTTTATCTTTCTTAGTATTATCTTAATTGAATGTTAAAAACTTAAAACCCTAACAACAGAGAAGCAAAAGAAGCCAGTGCTGGGAATCCACAAAGGATTGGTTTGGGAACCCCCTGTGGTAACCTAACTCCTCAGATGCTCAAGTCCCTTATGTAAAATGGCTTAGTATTTGCATATAACTTATGTACATCTTCCTTGAAATCATCTCTACTTAATAATACCTAATACAATGTAAATTCTATGAAAATAGTTGTTATACTATCATGTTTATTTCTATAATTTTTTATTGTTATATTGACTTTATTTATTTAATTTCAGTCCATGATTGGTTGAATTCACAGATGTGGAACCCTCGGATATTGAGGGCCAACTATATATCCTTCTAAAATTTTTTTTTTCTCTATGCTTATATATCTTTTTTTTTTTTTTTTTTCAACAAAATGAGATCCACTGTGCATAATAATTTGTAAATGTTTGGCTCAGTGATTTGTCATGAATATCTTTCCATGCAATGACTTTTTTGCAACATTTTAAATAACTGCTAGTTTTCTGTGTGTCTATCACAATTTACTTAATCTCATAATTGGATGTTTCATTTTTCTAATTTTATTATTATTTTATTTTTGAGACAGAGTCTTGCCGTGTTGCCCAGGCTGGAGTGCAGTGATGCAATCTTGGCTCACTGCAACCTTCACCTCCCGAATTCTAGTGATTCTCCTGCCTCAGCCTCCCAAGTAGCTGGGATTACAGGCACGCACCACCATGCCCAGCTAATTTTTGTATTTTTAATAGAGAAGGGGTTTCACCATGTTGATCAGGCTGATCTTGAATTCCTGGTCTCAGGCGATCCACCCACATCAGCCTCCAAAAGTGCTGAGATTACAGGTGTGAGCCACTGTGCCCAGCTCATTTTCCAATTTTTTTGCTATTATTATTAATGTAATGAACACTCTTGCTAGCGAATTTTTATGTGCGTCCCTAACTTTTCTCATAGGATAAATTTCTGGGAGTGAAATTTCTGAGTCAGTAAGTATTCTAATGTTTTGTGTTTGGTATAAACATAAAAGGTTTTATAATTTTATATTCCTGGGCAATGAATGCAATGCCTGATCCCTGTACCTTGAACACAGTCTCAGAAGCCAAACTCTTTGCTTTTCTATCTTTGCTCTGCCACTTTACGGTGAAGTGACCTGGAAAGTGTTTACATTCTTTGTGCCTCTGCTTCCTTTTTTTTTTTTTTTTTTTTTTTTTTTTNTGGTCAGGCTGGTCTTGAATTCCTGACCTCAGGTGATCCACCCGCCTTGGCCTCCAAAGTGCTTGGATTACAGGTGTGAGCCACCACGCCTGGCCTCGTTTCCTTATTTTTATAATAGATGTACTAATAACACATAGTATTGTTTAATGATTTATTACAAATAAAGTATTTAGGACAGTGGTATATAGTCTTAGTGTTTACTATTATTATTTTTAAACCTGATGGATGAAAAGTATTTTAAATTTGCAATTTATTATTAAAGGTTTTTAAAATATATATATATATTCTAGTTATTTATTTTTTTACTTCTTTGTTCAAATCCACTGCCTGTTTTTTTGGTTTTGCTTTTTTGCTTTTTTTGAGACAGGGTCTCAGTCTGTTGCCTAGACTGGAATGCCATGGCACAATCATGGCTCACTGCAGCCTTGACCTCCTGGGCTCAGGACATCCTCCTGCCTCAGCCTCCCAAGTAGCTGGGACTACAGGCATGTGCTACCACACTCTGGTAATTTTTTGTATTTTTTTGTAGAGACAGGTTTTTGGCATGTTGCCCAGACTGGTCTAGAAGTCCTGGATTCAGGTTTTCTGTCCACCTTGGCCTCTTAAAGTGCTGGGATTATAGGCATGAGCTGCTGTGCCTGGCCTGTATTTCTGTCTCTCTCTCTCTGTCTCTTTCTTTCTCATTAAAAATAGAGAGGAGGGCTCACTATATTGCCCAGGTTGGTCTTGAACTCCTGAGCTCAAGTGATCCGCTCACTTTAGCCACCACAAATGGCTCTGTTTTTCTGATATGTCTTTTTTCTTAATGATTTTAAGGCTTAAACAGGATATATTAGATATTAATTCTTGATCATACCAGGCTTTTTTCATCAGGAGTTATTTTTGGACCCCTCGGTATCAGGAAAAATATTTACAATATATTCATGGTACCTAAATGTTGAAAGAAGGCAGTACCCAAAGGAATTTTTACTTAGGCTTTTTTTAAAAACATGTTGTAACATTAGGAATTATTGAGCAGTGTGTTCTCGTGAGTTTAATCAGTTTCAACAGATTTTTTTTATCAGTCAGGAACAATGAAATGTCTGAAATCACACCAGGAAGTGGTCTGGTGTGGACAACTGCCACCTCGTGTGAACACCACACGCTACCGTCTGTCTGATCAATGCACTAGCCCTGGGCACTGGGCACAGGAGCTCACTCTGGTACTATTGAGCATCCAAAACATGATGTGTGCAATGAGGAAGGTAACCAGGAACCAGATCATAAAGCCCTTATCACATAAAGAGTTTAGACTATCCTGATGGCAGTGAGAGTCACTGAAGGGATTAAGCAGGACAAATCTGATTGGATTTTCATTCCTGGAAGATTGTTCTGGTTCCTGGATGGAGGATGATTGCAGGGCAAGAGAGGCTGCAGGAGGACCATAATCATGTTGATTTTCAATCAGACATAATTTTCAACTTTTGAGACAGCCCTCAATGCAGAACAAAGAAGCCCCTGCCAATACCAAGATGATTCATTTGGATGTGAACTTGTTGAAAGCTTTATGAAAGTGGAAATATATTCTCTCTGTTAGTACCACTATATGCACATGCATGAGGAGTCAGTCTTAATGATTCCTTACCCTTTTATAACATCCTTTCCCTGTCCCTGGCACAATGTTGCTTCCCTAACAGGCTGGTTCAACTACTATGTCTTTTTACACTTTATTGTGGATCCTGCCTGGAGAAAAAGATCACATCCATGCTCTAATTGAAATCCCATTGGTTCCAGTCTCTGATTTGTTTTTCTTTTTATGTCTTCTCATTCCTAGTGGCACCTGGAAATCTTGTCATAACTTATCTATCTGTATATTCTTCGGGATAATTAATGGGGTATTTGAAGAAACTAGAGATCTGCACAAGAAGCTATCAAATTTGCATGGTCACAAAACGGACAGCACTTTAAAATTACTAAAAATGTAATTATATGCATATATTCAAAGATTCTGGATTTTCAAAGCTTTCACTGCTGCCGTTTTAAAAAATTTTTATTTTAGGTTCAGGGGTACATGTGCAGTTTTGTTATACAGGTAAATTGCATGTTGCAGGGGTTTAGTGTACAGATTATTTCATCATCCTGATAATAAGCATAGTATCTGATAGGCATTTTTTTGATCCTTGCCCTCTAACCTCCTCCATCTCTCACCCGCCTTCTTCCCTTCACCCTCCTCCCTGCCTTCACCCTCCTCCCTCCCTCTACCCAGGGTCTATTATTTCTTTCTTTGTCTGTGTATACCCAAGGTTTAGATTCCACTTATGAGTGAGAACATGCAGTATTTGGTTTTCTGTTCTTGTATGTGTTTGCTTAGGATAATAGCTTCTACCTTCATCCATGTTGCGAAGGACATAATTTCATTCTCTTTTATGGCTTTGTAGTATTCCATGGTATATATGTACCAGATTTTCTTTATCCAATCCACCATTGACTTGATTCACTTAAGTTGATTCTGTGCCTTTGCTATTGTGAATAGCACTGCAATGAACATGCAAGTGTAAATGTCTTTTAGTAGAACGATTCATATTCCTTTGGATATATACCTATAATGGGATTGCTGGGTCAAATGGTAGTTCTAAGTTATTTGAGAAATCTCCGGACTGCTTTCCACAATGGTTGAACTAATTTACATTTTTTCTACCAGTATTTGTGTTCCCTTTTCTCTGCATCCTCACCAGCATCTTGTTATTTTTTGATACACTGCCACTTTCTACCTTTGTGTGAACAAATAGAATTTTATCGTGTTTCTATTCCTCATTTAGAGGACCCACTCATACCTATAAGTATGGCTAATACTGCCAGTAGTTTCTCCTATGGCTGCATTGTTTACTGCCATTTTTCTGGTTAAGATAGGGACTCCTTATTCTGCAGATACTCACTGTGGCCTGGAGAGACATAGTGCCACATCAGCTATTTGGAGGACCTGCATTTTGAGTTACCAAGAAAGTGCAGAGTGCATCAATCTCATTGCCAAGCTTCAGGATTCAAAGGATTAAAGGAAGCTCAATTCCTGACATCTGACCTCTGAATTTCCTGGAACTGGATGGCTGGTGGAATACCTGAGGTTTCTGAAGCAAACCTGGCACTAGAGTTCATTTGTCCCCTTAATCACAAGGAGTATCACCTTATCAGTTTTGAGTTATGTACTTCTATCACCAACTGTAAAGAATTCACCTCTTATTTAATAATTAGGCTCTGAGGAATCTTGGCACTGGAGGAAGGAGGAAACTGAGGTTGCTCCATGAATCAGTATAGGAGGGACTCGGGCTCATTTCTGGTACGAAATTGTTGAGGGTAGGAGGAGAAGGTGGTAGGAGACTTTGAAGCTTTGCATATTTAAGCATTTAAAAAAAAAAAAAAACATATTAGACTGGGCATGGTGGCTAACCTGTAATCCCAGCACTTTGGGAGGCCGAGGTGGGCGGATAACGAGGTCAGGAGTTCGAGACCAGCCTGGCCAAACGGTGAAACCCTGTCTCTAAGAAAAATACAAAAATTAGCCGGACACGGTGGCGCCCACTTCCTAGCTACTTGAGAGGCTGAGGCAGGCGAATCATTTGAACCCAGAAGGCAGAGGTTGCAGTGAGCCGAGATGGCGCCATTGCACTCCACCCTGGGTGACAGAGTGAGACTCCATCTCAAACAACAATTTACATTTTATGTTTCATATCCATTAAAACACAAAGTTTTCTTTTTTTTTATTT